AAAAAGAAAGGCCAGGCAGCTTCGTCGTCGTCCTGCTTGTGGCCATCGCCATCAGCACCAGCATCACCGGCATTGCATCATGAGTAGTCATCACATTCACGCAGAATTTCGATAGTATTTTGGAGTGATCACCAGCAAGTGAACGACAAAGGGTGCAGGTGTCTTTGGCTCAAGAGCTCGCAGCGACAACCTAACTGCCGCGCGGTGTGGAAGGCTCGTCCGTCAGTTGAGGGCCTACCCGGTTGCCATTTGCTGCGGGTTGGCCGTGTGGGGCGTAGGCCATCAGTTCTCTCCTCTTATGTGCCTGACTGCTGTTCTCTCTCTTTTGCAGATCTGTTCTTCTGATCCTGCATCACTCACCGGTCCCTGTCCTGTTGCAAGCCGAAACCCCGAACCTCAACCTGAATCCTCGGACTTCCGACCTCGATTTCGAAAGCTCGTGCCAAAGCCTCATCCCAACTGACGGTCTTCAGACCGAGACTTCTGGCAGCAAGACCCTGAAGGGCCCTAATGCCAGGAGATCCGCGGAAGCATGCGAGCCGTCGCGTGGTCCTCAGCTTTAAATCGGAGGGCTTAGGGCCCTTTAGGCCCCTTGGCTGAAGGACGTCTGCACCAAGACCAGATCCCCACATGCGCTGCGTAGAGTTTCTCCGATAAGTTTGAAGCACACGCGTGACCTCTCTGACCATGCAGATTCCATTCCTGATAGTCTTGCTGGTTCGAGCTGTGCTTCGGAACATAGTTCAAGTGTGATTATCGCTACCAGGCGCGACTGTCGTGTCTACTGTTCACATGTGTTCACTCCCGTTGTTCTTGGCCAGGACTGCTGCCATCCTTATCGTATATGCTTCCCCAAAACTCATCAAAGCAGCCGGTCCGTCAGCGAAGCGGAAGGGACTCTCTGACTGAACTCCCGAGCTGGTCCCTTCTTTCCTCTTGACTTTAAGGCCAGTCTCCGCTCTTCTCGGAGCTGTTGGCATCATGTCCCATTGCAGCTTTATGCAGACAGACTCGGGGTCTGGAGCCATGACTCGTTGAGATCTTGGCCGGAGCTCGATGTTCTTGGATGTCCGCGTGTCGCAAGCAGTGCACTGCTTGAAGCAAGCTCGCGTTGTACGAGTTCGGGCAAGACCAGAGGCTGTTGGATCTGAGCGGAATTCCACATCTTGAAGTCATCACCCAAAAAGAGGTTGTGATTGTCCAGAGGCATCCTCTGCCAGATGGTCGCCAAACGTGACCCTCCAACTGGACAATGTCCGACTTGGTCATCGTCAAGAATCTGAAACAGCACGAAGCATCGAAACCCCACAAGCCCACTTGCCTGCGAACCAAGCCTTTCAGGTCGCCGGCGCCGTGCTGGGTTACGTCGCCCTGTCTCTGTGCGGATGCACAACCTCAGGCGCAAAAACAATGCAACCTATGCATGCATATATATATATATTAATATAATATGATATTATATGATATGATATGATATGATATGATATTATATTTTCTTATATTATGGTATATTATATTATATTATACTATATTATATTATACTATATTATATTATACTATATTATATTATACTATATTATATTATACTATATTATATTATAATATATTATATTGTATTATATTATATTATATTATATTATACTATATTATATTATAACATATTATATTATATTGTATTATATTATATTATACTATATTATATTATATTATATTTTATTATATTATATTATATTATATTATATTATACTATATATATACTATATTATATATATATATATTATATTATATATTGTTTTATTATAAACATATATATATATGTGTGTGTGTGTGTATGTGCCGGTAATATGGATGTATGCATGTCTGCTCATGTATGCATGTTTGCATGCCTGTCTGCCTGGCTGGCTGTCTGTCGGTCGACCTGTCTGTCTCTGTATGTCTGCCCGTCTGTCTGTATGCCTGTATTGATGTATGTACATATGGACGTATGTATGTATGCATGTATGTATGCATGTGTGCATGTATGTTGTTTGTGTGTTTGTGTCAGAATATAGTCTTCAGGTCGAAAGACCACTTCTCCACATCGTGGCTCAAGACCTGCACTTTGGTGCATACAGAGACAAAGCACTGAAGTGAACGTTCAGGTTTATGTTGTGTTCCAGCGAGCCTCGCGCAGTACTTGGAGGTAGTTTTAGTGGAACTGGCACATTTTCCCTTCCGACAAACTTTTTGTGTTTTGCACATGATTGGCAACCGCAGATCAGGAACGTTCAAAGACCCTTTTTTCATTCCCGAGCGGGATGTCACGCTGTCAGAGCTCCGCTCTGTTTTCCCGGTGCCGATATCTTGGGTGAGATTCTGTGGTCGGTCCCTGTGCAGATGGGCAACTTGAAGCGTACGTGACAACATATAATACATAAGCAAATATACATATATACATATATATCCACATCTGTACATTGATAATGTACATCTATACGTTTATACATCTGTACATTTGGGCATCTACACATATTTTAATTTTGCACTTATACATGCATACATCTGCTATAGAACGACACATACATACATACATACATCCATACATACAGACAGACAGACAGATGCACATGTATACATATACACGGAAGATTACATCGAGAAGCGGCGTCTTGCGGAAACCGCGCGCTGCTCAAAACTGTGGTTACAGATTGGCAGTTCAGGGTGAAACGACAAGGGTTTGGGGTTTAGGGGCCGATTTCCAAATTGCACAGTTGGCTTAGGTGTCGGGAAAGCTTCCGTCCACGATCTTGTTTCCAGGTGAAGATGGCGGAAAAAAAGATGGAGATAAAGGACTGGCTGGTCCGACCCCAATGGGATTTTGCGCCGAAAGGAGAAAAAAATTACGCCGTGCCAATGCTGCCACCGCCACTGCTATTGCCAATGCAAATAGAGCTGCTAATGTTAATGCTGATAATGCTTCTGCTGCTGCTGCTGCCGCTGCTACTGCTACGGGCTACGGCTATGGCTATGGCTGCTTCTCCTGCTTCCCGCCGCCGCTGCTGCTGCTACTGCCACTGCGACTACCACTGCCACTTCCACGACCACTACCACCACGTCGCCATGACCACTACAACCACCGCCATGAGCACGACGACGACGACTCCTACTGATGCTCCTATTGCTCTGGCTGCTGCGGCTGCTGCTGCTGCTGCTGCTATTTTGCCGTCTTAGCGCAGTGCTGTCAAAACCAAAAGGCTTCAAGTGCCCAGATTTCTAAACACCACTCTCTAATGCTTGAGCTGTTCGACACAACACTCCTGCATGACGACGAGTCTCTGAAGTTCACTTGAACTGGAACTCTCTGTCGCATCGGATTCTTTGCAAAAGTATGACGGGCATCGATCCTTTCGCAAAGCCTCACGTGTGCAATGGTGCTGGGAATGGCGCAGTTTTGCAGGAACAACTACTACCACGGAGCCTGAGCCTACGACGACCACAACGACCACAACAGTAAGACCAGCAGGCAGGAAGAGGGTTCATCTTGCAGTTCTGCGTCGAAGATCTTATTTTGCATTCTCTCAAGATGCAGCTATCGCATGTGATTGTGACGGTCGTGGTCTTGATAAGCATGGATGATTTCGGCCCATCTCGTGTACAGTGCCAGTCTTGATCCTGTCTCGCAGCTTCTTCCCATCGCATTGATGTTTTGCACCCTTCCCGTTTTTCTCCCGAGCCGCCGGTTATCACTTCTTTGTCGACTTCGCCTGGCTCTAGCCTCTAAGATGCGCTTCTCCGCCAAGGACCGATCACATGCCCGGCGGATTTCCAGAGGGCACATTGCTCGAAGTGCATGCCCCAGGCCAGAATGATGACGATGAGGGCTTATGACGATGCTGAGGATGAGGATGTCGATGTATTAGCTTTACTGTCGCCATTGTTTTCATTGTAAAGCAACAGAAGCCATCTTGAATATCAGCTCTTGAGGTTTCCAGTATGCAGCGAGTGCACATTCAACCGGCAAGACCTTGTTAGGAAGAGCCCGAGGGCTGGCTTGGGGTGTCTGACCTAGGTGCTACTGGACCGGTGGTCCGGATGGCGAGACAGAATGCCTGAAAACTCAGTGGAGGTGCACCAGGTCGCTCACAGGCACGTAAGCCTGTCGTTGGAATGAAAGGGTCCCACAGAGGAAGCTGGGTCTTCCTGATGTTGGGGCTTAAGGTTTGCTAAGATTGCACTTTCAAGTCGTTGAACAGCTCAGCACTGGGCCCAGAACCCATCAGTGTCAGACTCCTACACACTTGCAAAGCTGCAAAACTTGTGGCCTAGGCCGCGCCTCAACCTGTAAGCTCAACAGCGCTGAGTATCAACCAGCCAACCCACATTGCGCTTACCCAGGTCAGGACTGCTCGTCCCCGTACACTTTGGAGGACAAGGCCAGGACTTTGGTGTGCACAAGCGCCAAGGCAACAGCAGCATTATTCATACCAGCAGCAATAGCAGTAGATCGTCGTCGTGGTCGCAGTGGCGGTGGTAGCAGTAGCTGGAGCTGTAGCAGTAGCTGTAGTAGATCTAGTCGTCGTCGTAGTAGTAGTAGTAGGAGGCGTGGTGGTGGTGGTGGTGGTGGTGGTCGTAGTAGTAGAAGTAGCAGCCACAGCAGCAGTAGCAGTAGCAGTAGCTGTAGTAGAAGTAGATGTAGCGTCGTCGTCGTCGTCGTAGTGGTAGTGGTAAGCATCATCATCAACAGCACCATCACCGGACCATCACCTTTATCGAGTGTTCCATGCCTTACAATACAAGCCAGTCCGAAGTGTATCCAAACGCAAAGGCCTGCCAGCTCAGCTGCTCCTCCCTGCCTGCACCGGATCCAAAGCCGGGCATGTGCCGCCCTGACTTCTGTCTGGAAGTCCCGGGAATTTTGGGAACTCGGGGCCTTGGGTGGGGGTACAGTCTGGGTGCAATTTGGTTTGCGCTTGATGCTTCCAGGAAATTGCCATAGATTTGTGTGGAACGTCCAAAGCGACATGATGGACTATGGGGATGTGATGACGACCAGTGACTGGTGTCTTTGGGTTCGACACTCGCATCGGCTGTGGCAAGAGTAACATCCCCGCAGCGGTACGCTTTCAGCATACCTAGCGCCACCAGTCTTAAACCCTCAACCCAATCAGACTTCTGAATGTCACTAGTACATTGCAACGCGAAGAGTGCGCGCGAGTCCTTGAGAGCCAGGCCCGACAACGCCATGAAATACAACGGAATCAGCTGGCCGACGGTTTGCTTCGACGACGCGGAGGCCCCCCCGAAGAAGGGTTTCTTGGGCTTCCAGGGAGATCGGGGCGAGGATGGCCTCGCATCTTATTCTGGTTCTGTGTCTAAGGCTTTGCTGCGACTGCGGTGCGAAAGACGTTTAGTTTCATCCGGGCAGCCGGCCTCTCTTGTATCGCCTTGCAACGCCAGGCCCACTTCTTCACCATCGGTGATGCTTTGCTGAAGTTCAGCAGGGTGGCTGGTTAAGTGACTCCCTGGCGTTCCGGCACCAGGGAGCTTCTGACCAAGTCATCAGGTCCGACCGATGTTGTTGATAGAGAGCTCTACCGGAGCCAAAGAATCTCTAGCCCCAAACACCCCTAGAGCTCAATGGCGTAAAGAGGCCCTACCCTACATCTTGAAGCATGACCCACAAATCTTTTGACAAACCCAAAAGCCCAAACCCTCCCTCAACCCCGCCCGGAAGCACAAGCTCCAAAGTTGGGCTCAGGACTGGGGAGGCTCGGACCGGAGAATGCCTTCTGCTGTTTTCTTTTAGCCCTACATACCACAAACTTCAGAGTCTACAACCGTAGAGACCAGAACCCTAAACTCCATTTCCCTGATGTTTGGAGGGCTCGGCCGCGAGTGGCTCTTTCGGTGTTCCCCCCCCCCCACCAACCGTGGAGGAGCAAAGACTGAGGGCTTCGGGCATCGGTTTTAATGACCCTTCTCAGTGTGTGTTTGTGTATGTGCACGCACACACACGCACACGCACACACGTCCCCGTGCACAGTTGCTTCTTGAACCCTGCTGGGGATCCCTTGACAGGCCATGTTCGAGCCCTGGAACATAGTGCCACATGTGTTGCCACTGCATCATGACTCATAATCTCCAACGACATCTGAAGACCGGAATCAATCCCCAAACAGATCACGACAGCCAGAAGCCAACAAGCAACAAGATGCACAACATGCACGACATCGTCCAAACTCCTTTGGGTCACAAGTTCCCAGCCTTGTCGCAGGCATGTGCGAGGGGCATTGTGGAGCGTCGTGAGCCCAGACACAGTCATGGCATAATAACTAGATTGACTAGATAACACCCTGTACTACGAACGAATGTTTTCTAGCCCTCAAAGGGATCTACTTCTACATCCAGGGGTCTGGGTACTGGTCGTCGCCATCCAAAATAGTAGCTTACATCGGAAACCCAGTGGAGCAACCGCAGTGCCAGCAGTAGCAGACACGGCCATATGCGGAAGAACCATCATCGCAATTTCGCAGTTTATCATTACCATTTGGTCGTCGTCATCATCGTCGCCATCAGCATCATTCTCGGTATTATCATCAGCATCGGCACCAGCCTCCTCCTCCTCTTCCTCTCATCATCAGCATCCTCCTCATCCTCATCCTCATCAGCATCATCAAAGCCGGCTTCAACACAGCAGTAGTTGTCCTTGCTTAGGTTTTCGTCGTCATCGTCGTGCTGGTTGTAGCATGGTTCTTCAATGGTAGACCCGTGCAATTGCCTCAAGAAGCACAGCTGCAACATGTCGCAGCCGTCAAGAGGCCAGCAGCAGCTGAAACGAGCAACTGGATTACTCACGTAATCACCCCAGGACTGCCGCACCCAAAACCCTCCTCAGCCTTGTCCTTGAAAGGGTGGTTCCTATGCCCAACCGCCACGGCGTGCCGCTTCAGAACCCGGTCGCGCGGCGCTCAGCCCCTAAATCCTGAAGACTTCTTATCTACCACCTTAGTAGATTACAAAGTTGAGTCTTCTTTGCATGTTCTCCCAAAAGCGCAGTTGACTATCCTTTGGATTTGGATTGATATGGGTTAGCTGCTATGGTTATTTAGGCATCCAGGCTGCTGCAGTCTGTTGCAGTTAACCGCAGTTACTTTCATTTCGTCTTCCACAGAAGCAGCGTCTCTTTCCGACCCTGCCGCCAAAGTTCCTTTCGGCAGAAATACAAGGTCAGCAAGAAGGTTCGAGTACACATAGTGTTCTCACATGGCGTGGTTCCTATCTCCTGTTGCTTTGTCAGCGATTGAGGTTCAGAGGTGTGAAGCCGCCGTTCCATGGCATCAGACGAAAGCACTCAGCCCTGCAAAGTTCAGGAATGTAGACGTGAGAGAGTATGTCATGAAAGCAAGGCCCTCCGAATATGTAGCGGAGAACAACAAAGAATTCATGCCGCACTCGCAGCCACTTAAGCCTTGCATAATCCTGTTTTTCAGCCAGACGATATTTACTCCTCAGGTGAAGTCGAGTGAGAACAGGGACCTCTCAGATACCTTTTCCCAACCCTGTCGACACTGTCACAGCCTGACTCTGAGCCCAAGGATTACAATGCGCAGACCCTTGTCGCGAGCCAAATGAAGGTGAAGGCTGCGCGTCACATAGAGTGGAGGAAGGAGACAGGGCAGCGCAGAGGCACAGTGGTTGGGCAGACTGTTTGGAGTTAGCTTGGGCTGATCATGGTTTCATTACGATACGTATATTCTGTCTTTTCTTGCAATCATTCCTACACAACGCAGGAAGAAGCATATACATTCTCATTCCGCCACCTCTTTCCTTTTTGGGCAGGCCCAGGAGCTGCAGCAGAAGGGCCACGACCCAAGATCTTGGAGAGCGAAGGCAAAGTGTCAATTTGCCATTGCATTGAAGATGTTACTGCTATGTTACTGGTTCTGCTCCGATGATGCTTTGCGACAGTTTCAGCCTGTCTGATTACGATGGGATGCATGTGCTGCGTGACATCAGCCACTGCCACCGTCTTCATCGCCACGACTTTTTTCTTGTTGACGGTCACATCGCTGATCCAAGACGCAAAACAAGCCACTGAGACCCTGTGTACCCCCCACTGCTGATGTCTTGCAAAGCTGGTGCTCTGTGTTTGCCCAGCTCCAAGGCACGCCGCCCAGGTTCGTGCTCAACGTAGGCTGGATGGGTACGGGGCTCTTTTCCACGGTTGAAATGGGTGTGCAGAGGGCAGCCTGGTTCGGCGGCAGCAGCCGACCACGTTACGCCCTAGCCCAAATCTATGTGCACGTGCCGTGCTGTTGAAGTAGCCGGCGGCAGTTGCAGTGCTCGAGTTGCAAACCCGCAACTCAGCTTCTGATGTGACCGACACCATCAGCCAGGTTGATGCTTCAGGTGGTCTCTCGCTGATGTGACCCAAAAACCAGCTGACGCCAGGGGGATGAAACCTTCGACCCTGATGTCTCCGCAGGTGACAACTTCTATCCCGGTGGAATCAATGCGCACCTGACTGAGAACTGCCAGCAGCCACATTTGGGATCCATAACGGGCCAGCCCGGCTGCAGATTCGGAGACCCTGTGTATCGAGGAGCTGGCCAAAGTTTAACTTGCAACCCTGAGCTAATAGTACCGGCGCTGGGCGACGAAGTTCCTGAGTAATTAAATTTATGCTGCTCTGAGAACTTGTGGACAACTCGTGGATGTCTGGAGGATTCTGCCATCTGCAAGGGGAGTGTAAGTTGCAAGCCCTCAAGCTGCTGACTATCTCGTCCCCTAGGCCCTAGGCCGTAGGCCTAGGAGTCATGGTCCACGCGGAGTCACGCCTCTGCGCGAAGTCGCCACGAGCCCTTTGGATCTTCTGAGGCAGACGCCAGGGCTCAGTTCGGCGGCCCATCGTGCAAGATGCACGATCACTGCAGGCTTCATTCCCTACAAAATATAATATAGTATAGTATAGTAAAGTATAGTATAGTATAATGTAATATAATGTAGCTACAGGACCCGGGTGTTGAGAGAAAGCTGCAAGAACGGCCGAAGAACTCCCAAGCGCAGATGTCTGGCAAAGGCCCAGGATCCTGGCCCCGAGATACAGAAGTTGCACTGAGTGAGCCGAGGCACTGCGACAGCGTCAACACCCCATCGGATTCCTTCTTGTCCTGGCAGCAGGAAGCTCAGCTTGCAGTCACAGGCACAAAGCTTCAACTTTTCAGAGAGTCAAGGTGCAACCGGGTTGGCCAATCCGCAACCTAGCCCCCCGCCTCCCGCCCACCGTGTCGGGCAGGTGAAAGCATGAGCATACTCTTCCGTCGTCCCCACGCCTTGCTCTTCCGCGTTCTGTGCCCCAGGTGCATGTATGGCTGGTAGTGTTGTGGGGTCCATGGGCTCCATGAACTCGAAAGAAGCATCGTGCAGGACCCTATCTCTAAGCTTCACGTCACATGTTTAAGCGTCCGACATCGAGCCGGAAGCAGCCGGGAGCCTGCAAGCTACTGCGGCTTAGGTTCAGGCAGGTCTTCGAGAACATGTACAAAGTGGAGGCCGCCTAACACTTCGATGACGGCCTTAAGGCTCCATAGGATTGGATCTGGAATCTTGCTTGTACTTGAGCATCATCTTGAAGTTCGGATGGTTGGGAAAGCCGCAAGGCATTCGAGAGCTTTTCTGGTTCGAAGGGTTCTTCTCTCTTTCCAGCGGTCTGTCCCGGAAGGACCTGGGCAACATGGAATGGTGGAGCGCAAGAGCCTCTGAAACTTTGCAGACGTCTCGGAAACGTCGCTGCTCCCCGCGGTAGGGTTGGCCTAGGTCCTCGGCAACCACGACTATGGTGGTGTCTGCTACATCAAGGCTTGGCTGGGGCGAGGAGGTTATGATCTTCAAGCTCCGAGGTGTTTGCCCTGGGCCGGCCCTACACACCTCTAGGAGAAATTGATGTTCGAACCACCGTCAGAATCGACCCCTCGCCCCCCCGGCTTCGTGCTGCGCACAAGAGCCGTTCAGAATCATAACCCTAACGGCATGAGGCCTAAAGTTTAGGCCTAAAGCAACACATTCCAAGTTCAACGACTTTGGCATCCTACAAGCAGTGCCGTTTTAGCATAGAGCCCTTTATTGGTGCAGGGCTGGGACCAGCAGATCTTCTACACCTTCAAGGACGCACGGGTACGGGTTCGGTGCAGTCCAGTGCTCTCGAGGCCCATGCTGTTTCCGATGAGGTCACAAACTCTCCTGAGCCGGTCCTACCCGCCATAAAGGGGTGACCAGAAACTGAGAAACAGGAAAATCATCGGTGTCACTGCATTGCATTTCCGGGTCCGGCTACATGCCTGCGCCGCAACTCCCATTTAGGGTTTAGGGCGTTCAGGGCCTTCAGTCCCAAGTCGAAGTAGGAAAGACCCTGAGGCGAGCAGCCAGTCCACACAACACACACACACACACAAGAGACCAAGAGGAGAATAGAACGAAGACGCAGAGCTGCGTGGCTTCGCATAGGTGCTGTAGCAAAAACCACGTGGAGCAGACTGGCGATGCTAAGGGTGGTTCATGGTGGTTCTAGTAGCAGTGGCAGCCTTACATGCGTGCTGGTTCTCGTGGCAATTGTAGCCACCAATCTCAAACCGTCAAACGCATGGAGGATGGTGGACGCTGGATCATGCCAGCTCAGTATTGGCACAGGCGTGTTCAGTTCAAGACGCCGAGGGCCAAGAGCTCTGTCGCTGCGCGGAAGACTTCGGGCCAGGACTTTCTTCCCAGATAAGTCTCAATTGTTTTGCTGGCATTAGCTCGCAGAGCCATTGCTCTAGCCGGAAGGTCTCTCATTGCGATAGCCAACTGAAAGGGGCCTCAAGAGTGTTGCAGGTCAGAGGTGTTAGTCAGGGCATTGTCCGTGCTCCCGAGAACCACTGACGGTTAATTGCTCCAGGTGCGCCATGCCACAGTTGCCTTGCATCTGGGGGACCGGGGCAAAGGCCATAAGCAATGGGTGCTGGCCTGGCCGGGGGCAGGTGAAGCAACATCGGGCAGCTGGGGGAACTGGACTGGCGGTTCTAGGCATCTGGGGAGAAACCCATTGGCTCAACCCAGAATTCCGCAGCCGGGCACTGTGCCGTGAGATTTGAGAGCACGTGCTGGTTAAGCCAGCAACGGCTGCTTTGGCTGTTCAGTTCAGGTCAGTCTAGTCTGTCACACATACTGAACAAGAACCACAGCAATGTTTCGCAGGCACTCAAAACAGATGCTGCCATGGCAGACGTAAGTTTCCTCGTACCCTGGTCATTTCCAGCATTTCCTGTCCATCCTACGCCGGTCCGTTCGTCGTCACCACGGCCTGTGGACCCTCAGTCTTTACGATCGGAACTCGTAGCCTGGCGCACTCGTTGCCTGCGACAACCTGCAGTACCGTACCATTACCCAAAGGCTACTTTCCCAGCCTGAACTGCCTAAACGTACTCTACAGCTGAGATTCGACGCGGATATCTGGTTCTTGGACACGAATGTCCTCGACACGCAGAACCCGGCGGCCAAGACCTCGGAAGGGAGCGCTGTGGTATACATATCCGACATATCCTTGGCAATAGGACAGACGTACCGGCTGCGTGGTTACAGTGGCTTGTGCCTGCCATTGTAGCTGAGACTTTTCTCAAAAGTGACCCGTTAGCTCTGCTGGTGCTAGTTGCAATAGTTCAGTCGCAGCAGGGGATTTTGCTTTCGCCAGAGCATGCGCTGTCGTTTGAGGACAATCCAGACCACAACCTTTGCGCCAACAGGGGAAACTCGGACAAATTCCAGTACTGCGAGAAGAACAGGCGCGCCCGAGCCTGGACTTTCGGGTTTTTTTTTCTCAGACTGCCAGGATTCGTGACTTTGTTTGAGCGGAGCCGAGATCACGTGTAGATGACTGACTGGTGACCAGATCCGTTTTGGCTGCCTTCGGAAGGTCGGACCTGTGTGAAAGGGTGGAATGCGCGCTTCAGATCACGTCGGTTCTCAACGCCCCCACATTAATCGCCAGACAACCCGTGAGCCATCCTCGTGGCGACAGTCTGGTAATGTTTGGCACAGACGACGTGGAGGAACTTGGAACTGGGAAACTAGGAATGCCACCTGGCGCCTGACCTGGCAAGAACGGATGCACAGCCAGAGCGATTGAAACTGCCCGTCGTGGGTCCTGCCTAATCCTGTGTCACGTTGCAAGTCAAAGTTTCATGCCACATGCTGAATGCTTGCCACCCGCTGATTTGCGAATCTTCTGTGTGACCCGGCTTCCTCTCCCCAACCTTGCACTCTAAATCTTGAACCCAGAACCTACCCGAGCCAGGTTCCCTCCAAAAGAGGGCACCGACGCGAGTAGCTGCACAGCTACGGGGCCGACCAACCCCTCGGACCGGGCCCTGACACCCTTCTGCGATGAAGACTCCATCTAATGACAACGGTGGGTAGGATAAGAGACGGAGTGATGAGAAAGCAGCGTCGCACGTCGCAGTAACAGCAGTAGCAGCAGCAGTAGCAGTAGCAGTAGCAGCAGTCCTAGTCCTCGTCCTAGTCGTATACGAGCAGCGGCAGTACATAAACCGTCGTTCACTGTCGCGATGCAGATGGCTATGATTTAATGGTGACGCAATGTGCATGATGGTGGTGGTGATGATGACGACGACGATTTGACACACTGCTCAAGGGCCCGGCGGTAGGGCTATGGGCTTGGAGCCAGAATGCCACAATGTCAACAATTGGCCTCCGTGCTTTGAGCAACATCGGGTAGGAGAGCATGTCGGACAGTCGCTCCAAGCGCACTAAACTCTTGACTTCAACCGCGTGAGGCCACCTAGGACCTAGCAGCTAGCACCCAGCCGATCTCGGTGAGGATTGCACCCAGTGGTTCGATAAGCTCTGGGGCGAACAGAAGAAGCCGTGGCCCTCAGTTGACCCTCCAAGTGCTGCTTTGATTACTCTTGCCATTCCTGTAATTTGTATTCTGCTTTGATTGCTCTTGCCATTCCTGTAATTTGTATTCTGACTCTTGATGCTGGGTTGTTCTCATCATTAAGAATCAAAGACTCATGATCAGGCATGTGCCCTAGCCGGAATTGCTCCACGCCGGTCAGCCGCAGAGAATCAGGGCTCCAGATCTTTGGGGTACTGCGGTGTAGTCGCGGCATAGTCATTACGGCTGCTGCAGTACTGCATCTGCTACTACTACTCGTCCATGGCAATGCGGATTATGCATGTAGCATCATGTAGTGTTTTTTCCTTTTGCATTTTTGCACACGGGGCGGGTTATGTGGGGGCGGGGTGATGACGTCCGTTCCTCCTGCGGCCCGATGGAGGCATGGAAAGCTTGACAAAATTTAAGAGTTGGAGCCTTCTTGCCGCATCTGTGTTTTCGTTTACTGTTTGCTCTTGGGCTCTGACAATCGTGCTATCATGACTCTGCTTATCATCCAGATGCTAAACAATGATGGTGTTGTTGATGATGAGGGTGTTGACGCTGATGAGGATGTTGATGGTGACGATGCTGGCTATAATGGTGTTGTTGCTTTGGAGAAGCCCGCTGGATTCGGTTTTATGTTTCCTTTTGTTGGCTTTTCTTTTTGCTGATCCGGATTCTTCTTGTTGCTGAGCTGGACGCTACCCTTCCCCCGGCAATCGCCGAACATCAAAGGTAAAAGTTCGTGTAATCCATCCACACAACTTGTGAAACGATCGCACGACAAGGCTCTCGAGCGTCAGACCCTCCACCAGAAGGTGTAAACTGTAATAAACTCGAGGTTATTGCATTTGTTGGCAAAACTTCTGCAAGAAGGAACGACACACCCTTCGCCGTGGCAAATGCGCCCACTACCTGCTTCTTGTTGTTTTTTTGAATATCTGCGCCGCCAATATTGGCACTTGAAGTCGTCGCCAAGGTGGTTCACCGATGCTGTTAAAAAATCGGACGCGAGCTGGCAGATTGTGGTGGTGCGCGGGGCCGAGCTGCCAACCTGGCCCACACAATCATGTATCCTGGTTGACTGGTTGTTTTCCAAAGCTTCATGCGTATTGCCAGCTTCCTCAACCCGAAACCCTACACTGAGACTTGCCATGACGGCAGTTTGCAAAAGCATGCGCCTTGCAGGAAGTTCAGCAATCTAGCACGGAAGCCAGGAATCCTGACATCGATACTTGTAGAAAGTAAGTTGAAGCTAGCGTAATTCATCATACTCACAGTACTGTTACCCGTACTGTTTCTGGTACTTGTACGAATACTAGCGCAATATCAGCAGGTAGAAGTCTCAGTATCAGTACCAGCCATGGTAAAAGGAATAGTATTCGGGGTACTAATTGGCACTGGCAGCAGAAGCATTGCTAGTAATAGCCACCGCAATCGCAATAGTAAGAGTGATAGACATGGTAGTGGTAACGGTACTAGCAGCAGCATCACAGCAATAGCAATAGTAGTAGAAATAGTTAATATTCATGGGTAATCGTAGTAGTACCAATAGTGGCAGTCGTGGTGGTGGTCTGAATATTAGATTAGGTTATATTGTACTATATTGCTTTATGTTATATTTATGAACCTATGCCTCGCTGCGGTTTGCGCCCTTGGTGTTCGGTGGCTCAGGCACCATCCGCCAAGTGCGGGCGCCCGGCGGAGGGGATCCGACAGCGTCTCAAGGTTTCATGAGGGCTCCATAGGATGCTATGAGGGATTCGGCTTATGATGTAACTTCGCACTTGTTGCTCTGGCACTCCTGTCATAATTACATGTGAGCAAGCTTCTGTGTCATTTAAGCATGCCACCCCTTTTGATTTAAACCCTAAACCCTAAACCGTCTTGTCGTTTTGCACCAGCAAAGCCCAAGCCTCAGGCTACTCCCCCGGCCGTGGCGCCGATACCTTGAATTGGCAGGACTGCACCACGGGTAGTTTCTCTAAATTAGGGCCCCTTTCGGGATCCTGTTTATAGGGTTGCCGTACTATATTGGACCCTGAAAAAAAGAGAATTACCCACATGGAATGGCACAGCTCAGGGGCTTCGGTGCTTCCTGGTTTTACGGGGTTCACGTCTGCCGACCCGTCTTTCTCGGCTTGTCTCCGCGTGTCTTGAAGCCACCAGTGGTGCTTCTCTCTGTCGTTTGGGGACTGGGCGAACCCCGGATGGGACCCCTCGGAGACTCTGTGCAGGCCATTGCCCGCGAAGCGGGGATCGACCTTATCATCAGCGGCCATAAGCACGAGCAGAAGGTGGACTGACTTGCAATGTGGCTGTTCTCCTTTGTGCGGAGGAATGTAGTCTGGTTCCATATAGGTGTACTTTTACATGATTTTACGTGTATATATACATATATATATACACATGAATATTGTACACATACATACCTACATGTATATACGTTGTCGCGATTATGCTAAACATTCCGTGAACTCGTTGACGAAAATGGGGCGTTTTTTCTCGCGCTGAAAGTTTCCGCATGTAGCATGCGGTGCCCAAAGAGCTGTTTCTGCAAAAACCGATCCGAGGAAGTATATGCCCGTGGTAACCTATGAGGGACAGTGAAGTGAACATGACGATGATGGTGATGTTGACGCCTTTGGTGATTATGCTGATGGTGATGTTGGTGATGACGATGATGATGGCCAGGATGATAATGATGTTGATGGTGATGATGGCGGCGCCGCTTTTTTGGTGAGAACGTTGGTGATGTTTACAGATGTCGGAGATGTGTAGCATGATGATCAAGAGGAAGGTCAATGCCAAGATGGTTCGTGATGCTCATCATCATTGTCACCACCATCATGGTCATCATTGCCATCACCATCGCCATCGGCGTCACCATCACCAGCACCACCACCATCACCCTGCTCCTCCTCCACCACTTCCTCATCATCATCATCATCACCACCATCATCACCATCACATCATCGTCACCATCACCATTATCATCAACATCATGATCGTCGTTGTCGTCGTCGTCCTGTTCATTTTGACTTGCATTATTCACTGTCGTCATCTCCATCAGCATCGGCAATCAGGCACGAGTCACCATACATCATCAACAGCATCGCGATGTGTTATCATCTGCATTGGTGTAGTCATCACCATCACACGCGTCCTCAGCAATAGCACCCGCACCAGCACCACCATTAGACTTCTTGTCGTCGTTGTGGATGTTCTTCCTTTTGCTCATCTCTGCGTAATCGTCCTCGTCATTATCATCGTCGTCCTCCTCATCCACATCGCCATACTCCCATCACCATCACCGCCGTCTTCAGTATCATAACCTCGTCGTCACCACAAACTTCGTCGTCGCCGCCATCACCAGTACGTCTTCGTCGTCGTCGCTGTCCTGTCTGTCGTGCCACTCAGTTAGTCAAGAAAACTGCACAGTCGCCAGCATCGTTTACAATACAATCAGAGTTGCGACAACACATTACGACTTGCCAGTTGGCAGATGGGCTCCCAAGCATCGGTGGCTCTTGCTGCAGGAATTGCCCTGGCAGCCCCCGAACTCTGAGCTTCGGGCGGGTTTACGGGAACCCCGAGTTTTGAAATCAAAGGTGCAGAAACTTTTGGCCCAAGCCCCGCGAAGTATGCGACATGTCGGCAATCTTACAAGGCGTCTGACGGAGTTTAGGCTTTATAGCTGCTCCCTGTCTACCAACCTTCTGTCCTCTTCGGCTACTTCGAAACATGAGTAGCCTTGTTCGTTCTGGGAGGTGGAGTCGAAGCGCAAGGGTTTTTCTCCTCTTCGGTTCAAGCAGAGACTTTTCACAACCTTTTCCAACGCTTTTCAAAGCAGTGCCGGCCATGGTCTCGGAGCCTGCGTGCAAGGAGTACCAAGCTCAGGCAGGGATCCTCTCTTGTAGTTGGGGCCATTTAGGGTATTTAGGGTTCCGTTTTGTAGGTAGTCTAAGTATTGAGGGTTCAAGGTTCGGGGTTTAAGGTTCTTGTCCAGTGAAGCATGCAGAACCACTATTGACCTCTGTAAGCCACGGTCTGGTTCCCAAGTCATCGAAGTCCTGATTTGCATACAAAGAACCGCCGGCAAGCTGCCGCACACAAAGCGGGTCCTTCTGCGCTGAATGGTGGCATTACTCCTTATTTTGTTGTTTCTCCGGAATTTCCGGTGATTGAGGGTGACCCGGGGGATGCTTTGATCCTTGGCTTTTGTTCGGAGAGGTCGCGGCGATGGAAGTTTCTACGGAGGCCGCCTATCAGGACTCTTTGGGCAGGTTCAGGAATCGGAGTTCATGGGTCTAGGCTGCGATAGAGGAGGTGTCGTGTGCACCAGGAGTTGGCTTACTATGAAGGTGGAAGCGCCAACATGAAACGATGACGGTATCATCAGCATTTCAGATCAGCTCTTGCTGTTTTGTTCCGTTTGTCCCCCTTTTTTTCAGCAGCTCAGAGGAACTTGCCCGGCGCCGGGAGGAGGTGATCGCCAGCTTGGGCAGCTGGTGCCAAGCACTCAAGGCTTGGGCCTGGGGCCCTTGGATTTGGAAAGGGTCTCTCTCTTTGGGTTTAGTATAGTACCATTATAGTGGAGTATAGTATAGTATATTATAGCGTATTATAGTAGTACTGTGGATCGTCGTGGATGACAAGACCTTCTAAATCCTTCTCAAGGCGGCAGTCGAAGGCACACTCTTTTCCAGAGCAGCGCGAACGATCTCGGAATGTTTATCGTCAGAGGTCATTTTTGGGAGAGCGACGCTGCAGAATTGTTGAAGGATCGCGAAAACATGAAGTTGTTGGGGCAGTTTTTGTGCAGCTTTCGGGCTCCGGACATGAAGATGCCTGTTCATACCTCGGCCGCGACAGTCCTGCATCCTGCTATGGAAGTCATGCCTAAAAAGCAGCCGTGTCCAGGAACCCAAAGGCACCCCTTTGCAAAGCTCGTGAAATCACGGAGTGTCGTGGAGAGGCGATCCGAGCACCACAGACTGCGCCCCTCGAGGCCGACGGTGACCCGAAGGAGCAGAGAGACCCAGAAACCCTTCTCAAGAGAGACCCTAAACCTCGTCAAACATGAGGAGGGACAAGATCTGATCGTTCGAGCTCCTGCAAGGATACTATTGGGGTGTCATCGCGTAATGGCATTGGGGGGGGGGGGTCTTTTCATAACGTATCGGTGCTGTAGAAGGTCGTCCTGGACATTTTGGTGCGCTCTCGGGGAACCTATCCGGAGGAGACCTCGCAGCTGCAGTCCCACCTGCGAGACGCGCTCTTCGTGGAGATCTGCAACGCATTGGTTTCTTGGTTGCAAGATCAGGGAGAAACATACATTAAGTATACATATTTATATATATTTATATATATATATATGTTTATATTTTCTTTGTTTATTCTTTATTTATTTACATGTGTATATCTATACATTTACGCATGAATTTATATACATATATATATATATATATACACATATGTTTATATATATATATATTTATTTATTTATTTATATTTATTTTTATATATATATATATATGTATATACACACAAGACAGTGTGCATGTAATTACAGACACCCGTATGTATGCATGCGTGCACAGCATGTATGCATGTTTGTTGACTTTTTGCATGCTCATGTTTGTATGCATGTTTGCATGTAGGCACGCACGCATGTATGTATTCTTGTGTGCATTTTTGTATACATACATGTGAATGTATGCATGTTTTTATGTAGGTATGTCTGTAGGTATGTAGCTATGTAGATATGCAGGTGTGCAGATACATAGGTATGTAATTTATGTGTGCAGGTAGGTAAGTAAGCAAGTAAGTAAGTAAGTAAGTAAGTAAGTAAGTATGTATGTATGTATGTATGTATGTGGCCAAAGCAGACATGCTTATGAAACTCTATGGCGATGCACTTGCACACTAGCAAGCGCAAGCAACAAAAGCAGCTGCAACAGCCTGTGACAAGAATCCGCCTGGTCAGCATCGCCATGAGCGACTCCAGCATCATTACCAAGAAGAAGCAACACCATCCCTACCGTCACCATGATCCTCCATGCCATCATCCGCATCAATGTCGCAGCCCTCACTCCGGCTCCGTTGTCATCATCACCATCGTCAACACCATCATTACCGTCGTCATCACCACCATCATCGCCGAGGCCCAAATAAGCTTCTAACTCGAACCAAAGCTCCGAACTCGAAACCCTGAGCTCGCCAAGTCCCATCCGAGGCTTTCCCCGGCGCCGCGGCGCTGGCCAAGCCGGCGACACCTACGAAGGTACTTGTATTTACGGTACCATTTATGGGTCAAATTCTCGGAATGGGGTCTCGCCAGACCGATGCAAAGCAATATCACATATGATCATACATAAACGCAGTAGAAATGCCACGGTGATGAACTATGGATGCCACAAAGCCATGATGGCAGCCTTCCTGGCAGACGTGTTTAGGGCTCTTGGGATGTTCTCAGTCGGGCTTGTGTAGGTTCAGCACCAGAGGAGTGTCCGTAGCAAGACGAGGGCTTGGCTCAACAACACGGTCTTCAGGATGTTTCTGGAACCCTAACCCGCTCAGGTTGTGAGCCAGCGACAAGTGTCCACGAGCGCTGCAGTGGTCTCTGTTCGCACGCCGCGAACACCACAGAAGCAGCTGGGCTTGTATAGCCACTGATCCATTCGGAGTTAGCACCGGGCAGTTGACAAACCCATGGCTACGGCAACGCTAACTTTCAGAGATGTTCTGCCCTTTAAGCACACATTGCCTTTCCTTCAACTGTCAAAGGACCATCGTTTGGCTGCACCGGAGAAAGAATGCCACATCTGAGGTTCGGAAAGACTGAACCCGAAGATGCAACGCCGAAAAGCAACTACGATCCCTTTGCTCTAAACCCCCGGAAAATACGGCCTTTTGGGCCCTAACTCGATCCTCAACTCCCCCTCCCCCCTCCGGATGCCCTCCGAGGCCAAGCCCGAGAGGCTCCCGCGAGTCTTTGAGCTCCCGGGCCACGTCTCTCACACCGCGGCCAAGTCCGCTCTCGGCGCTGGGCCGGAAGGACCTGGAAGGGTTTTGTTGTGCTCTTCTTTTTTGGGTTTTGTTGTTTGGCCCCGAAGGCTTGTTAGGGTTTAGAGTCTAAGTTTAGAGCTGGCAGACTGCTTTCTGAAACTCCAGTTTCCTTGGCTGGCCCGGAAGGACGCTCGGCCGGTGCAGCCCTTGGTGCCACGACAAAGGCCCTGAGTCTTTGAAGTGTTTGGGCTTATCGGGCTTGCAGATGGTGATTTGCGGCGTCGTGGCTGCTTTCGTGTCGCGGACGAGCGTCGGTTCGCCGCTCGGCCTCGCTGATTCCTTGTGCCAGGTGTCCCCCAACGAACAATGTGCCAGAGAAGCGGCCGACGGGACGGATAGAAAGGACACGCCGGAGAGTGAGCTTTCTGATTCACAATCCAGACGAAGGGATGTACGAACTGTGCGCTTCTTCATCAAGAACATTGCTGCCAGTACAGGTCAGCCTTGGCCTTCCCCTCAACTGCGGCCCAAGGCGGACATACGTCGTCAACCAAAGCGCATGAGTCATTGGGAATTCCGAACTTGGCCTAACTTTCCCTGTCGCTGCAAATCCCCAGCCTCAATCTATGAATCTATACATGCAAGGTGGGCGATGCAGACTCAAACCGCATTTCTGAGAAGCTTGAACCCGGAGTCCCGTCAGGACGAGCGAGCGTCCCGTGGTTACCCGATCCCAGCAGCTCCCAGCTCAGCACTGACTGTTTCTGTTCAGAGCTTGGGGTGTGCAGCTCCAAAGTCTGTCGGAGCTTGCGTTTGGAGGCTTCGTAAGCTGATATATCTTTGTTGGAGCTCGCAGAGTGAAGGAGAACAGGACCGGTATGCAAGAAGTTCCTGGAATGGCACAGTCACAGTCAAGCCAGACAAGTGTGGGTAACTCCCATTCAACACAGGTTCCAGATGCCTGCCTTTGCTGGAGTTCGACGCAGCTCCAGTTGCTGGGCGGAGTTTCTCCTGACGTCATGGAAATGTGATTCTGTAGGACTACTGAAAGAAACGCCATGCCCAGGAGGGACGAAGGTTTTCGATGGCAGTTGTACGAGCTTCAGGTGGTGTAGTGAGCCTTCGTGCTGATACACAGCAGTTAGTGTTGATGAGTAAAATGCGAACGGGCTGGCCCAGCTGCACCCCTAGTCGGGATGCCGAGCATGCTTTAGCCTTTTTGTCCCACGCGCACAGACCCTAAACCCGCGATTGTCAGTGTGTTGTGTGTGCGTGTGTGTGTGTGTCATATATATATACACATGTAAATACATGTCTGTACATCTGTCTGTATGCAAGTATGTAGTCCAGCAGGCGAGAAACGATGAAGATGAAGACGGTGATGCACTACATGCCACAGTAACTAGGCTGTAGTGTCCATGTATGTTTGGCAAGCACGTGGGAGCCCAACAGCCCAAGGATCCAATTCCATGAAAACCGAGAGCCAAGAAAGCGCAAAACCTCCAAACCCTGTAGCTGGGTTTAGGGTTTAGGGTCTACGTACCGCATCAGCCTGAATCCGGAGTTTTTGTCGCAAACTGCAATGTCGCCCCCGAAGCACTCCCTGCCCAGCCCCAATGCCGAGGCCCGCGAAACTCCTCTCAGCCGCTTTCTGCCCGAAGTTCCTCGCTGCGGTACTGACAGGGACTTTTGAGGCTTTTTTAGCATTGTCTGTCATCAGCCTATCAGCTGGGGGGAGGAAAATGTAATGTAAGGCTTTGGGTTTAGTAAGTGGCAGCGAGGTTAGCCATTGCATGAAGCGGAAAGAGGTCGAAGAATGCGGAGAACGGATCAGAGGGGTCCGGTAGACGTGCACACGTGGACTGAACTAGTCGAAAACGGCTGAAGAAGGTGGCAAGAAACCTTGCAGTAACGATCTCTGTGGCTTCTTAATCTTAAACCATCAGCCCCCGAAACCCTAAACGGCCGTAGCCCATGAACGGCAGAAGCTTCCAGATCTAGGGATTCTCGTGCCTAAACCCAAGGCCATTGCTGAGAGGGCTTTGGGGCCGCGGAGTACTCGTACTAAGAATAGTCCAATCGAATCCGATCCATGGCGGTCTCCCAGTCGTAACCGTCCTTCATGCCTGCGAGGGGTTCTCGGTTCGTTCTGACATCATTCTTTCAATGTTCGGGGTCAACGAATGCTGCTGGAAGATCTTTGGTGGAAGCTTCTTGCACGGAGATGAGCTGGACCGTACATCTCCTCAAGCACGTCTACTCGGTGCCCAGGCACCACCGAGAGGCCTCCCTGTCAAGACGCGGATCCCCGAAGCGCAGACGGCCTTCATCTGCATCAGGTATGCTAGATTTTCATTACATGGTCTGAAACGCACATCATCTCGACCAGAAGGTGTCACGGGAACTAAAAGCCCTCGCAGCGGATGCACTCTTGTGAAGCCTGCGTTCCACTGCCAGTGCATGGTGGTGTAGTTTGACATTCTGTTCTGCGGTGTGGTCTTTTCTAGGATTATCGGCCAGGACACGGAGAGGGGGTGTCATCAGAGATCAAGCATCCGATGTCTTGACAGGTTCAAACACCTCGGCATGTAACACTATCCTTCGGGACGTGTGCCAGTGTGTGCCGCCCGCACAGGGCACTGGCGGATGCACAGACACTCGGTCGATCCTCCAGGCTTGCCTTCCCCGCTTCCTGCCCCGCTTCCGGAAAGAGCCCATAGTCCTCCCTCCTTTTGGACCTTGACCTTGAGCCGAAGCCTGGAGGGTTGAACCTGAAATTATCGAGTTCACAGCCGCCTCGTGCCGGTAGCGACCCGCGCGCCGGAAAGGCACGCAACCTGCCAGCGGGGCGAAACGGAGTTGAATTCACGCTCCATCTTTGCTTGGCTCCATCCGGCGGACGATGGTTGTAGAATCATACAGAAACAAGCTTTTGGTTGTAGGCGATTTGGGCGATGACTGTAGGGCTTGTGAGGACTCCCTGATTTCTGGGTAGGACTTCACCGACAGATCAGCCGGGCGCATGGGCAAAAAGAGCTGAAATGCGGCTCGTCTATATCAATATATTCTACATCTATCTATCTATCTATCTATCTATCTATCTATACACATATATATATATACATATATATATACATACATGCATATATATATACATATATATGTATCTCTCTCTCTCTGCTCTTCCCCGCCATGCCCGCAACTGCCAAAATCACCTGGGAGCGTATCGAAAATCAAGGACCCTGCTCGCAGCGTAGAGCTTGAAATGCTAGGTAGTAGCAGAGACTTCGCGAAGCTTGCTTAGGCTTGAGGTTTCCGGTGAAGGTTTTTTTTGGGGGGTTAGAGTCAGGGGGAGTAGGTTTGGGCTAGTTGCTTCAGATATTGGGGGTCTCGGGCCCCAGAGGGCCCCCTGAAGGCCCTGAACCCCTGAAAAAATTGGAAGGTCTTCTACAAAGGCGCACACGGAGGTGCTGATCTGGAGGAGACAACGGCTTCGAGTGTTTGAGGCTATGGCTTCCAGGGTGGTGATGTTGATGAAATTCAGTGCAGTGTAGGTAGCTTGATTTTGCAGGGGCTTCTAGAAGCTGCTTGCTGCCGAAGCCCTGGCTGCATGTATTCGTTGCAGCATGTTCTCACGAAGTGGTCTAGGTGACATGCCTGTGATTGGAGACCAAGAGGGGTTGTCGATGCATGTTTTGTTATTGGCGAGATTCCAGGCGACATGGCTTTCGAAGGCACCATGGTTCAGAATTTACGCAGTAGCAGTATCTCAGTATTGGAGGAGACGGCATGGGTGATCACTGGTGGCGGTGGTGGCGTGACGGCAGAAATGTTGCCGCATGGCGCCCAGAAAGAGCTCACATGGGACATGTGCCGTGCAATCCCAATACATTTCGCTCGGTGTGCTGCTTGCAGGTCGACCAACGGCCAAGACGATGCCTATGGCTTCATGGACCCGCATGCATTTTGGGGCGTCTTTGCGGTGCGTCAACGTCTCCTAGCCTCGGGACATCTCGGGACTCCAGGTGTGGCAAGAGCACTTTCGTCTGAAGTGAAGAGCCCGCTCGAGTTGGGGCCAGCCACGAGCGGCCATCTCCCTCGAGAAGATCGAGATCACCGCCATCTCCCACGGCGGAGTCGTGCGAAGCAAGACCGCTGGTCTTTCTCATCCCTTTTTTCCTGCCATGGTAGCAAGTCATACTTGCGCGATACTATGTGATACTTCTGGGCAGACGCATCAGTGCTGCACCACCATTCAGGATTGCCATCTGTGCGTTTCGGTTTTAGGGCCCCCAAAAACCCAGAAGCCGTAGCAGCCAGGACCACGGTCTATCCGCGCATGAAGCCAAGCCCATTCCTCAGTCAGTGCTCATCTCTTCCTCCTGCACAGACTCGTTTGCTGCGCTTCAGGGTTGAAGCGTTGAAATCAGCAACACCATCATTACCACCGTACAAACTCAGAATAGCAATCATAGTCATCATCATCATCATCATCATCCTCTCATTCACTGACTCACTCACTCACTCACCCACTCACTCACTTATCATCGTCGTCATCACCAGCGCCCCCGCCGCCACCACTGTCATCGTCATGATCATCATCATCATCATCGGAATCGTCATCGTCATCATCATAATCGTCATCATGGCCATCATCGTCATCATCCCTTCTTCCGAGTCATCATCACCACCATCATCATCACCATCACCATCATCATCATCACCACCATCGTCGTCGTCATCCCTAACATCTTCGTCGTCATCGTCGTCATTATCCTCATCATGACTGTCATCAGCGCTTGCACCAGCATTAACAGCACCAACAAAGCCACCAACGCCGCCACCATGATCACCGTTACCATATCATCCCCCTACTCCCACTTCTGCTTAGGTTCGAGCATCTAAGGGAATTTGTGCCCTCACTCCGATCCTAAACCTAGGCATCCCTCAGCCATAAGCCCTAAACCCAGTTTCTTCGCCGCAGCGTAGCATTGAACCCATCTGATGCCTATCGAGGCTTTGTTGTGGCCTAAAGGATCGGTCTAGTATAGGTTGGATTTAGGATTTAGGGATTTAGGGTTCAGGGCTTTAGGGTTTAGGTTTAGCTGTATGGGTTAAAAGGAGCTTGGGAGGATTTTGGCCTTTAGTGCTTCGTGTCTTGTGTATGTGGGGCTTGAGGGGTGTCTATAGGTCTGGAATTTAGTTTGGGGGCCTCGGGGCTCGGGGCTTCGGGATTTTAATTCGGGGTTCCGGGGTTATGAGGGACCTCGAATCACTCGGGGGATTTGGCTGAGGCATGCAGAACGACGAGATCGAGATGGTCGTCTGAGCTGCGTTCAGTAATAATGAGCCCGGCCGGGACAGGAGAACCCACCACAGGTTCATGGAAGTGGGGATGCACATGATTGGTAAAGACACATCGCGTGGGACGTCTCCTTTCCGGGCCTGTGTAGCATCCGCCAAGCGGGGTTCGTCGAAGACTTTCCCTATGCGGGTGTACCTTAGATTTAAAGGTTGTCTTTGGTGTTCAAGGGTCACGGGCGAGTTTGCGCTGCAAGGGTCAATGTCTCCACTTCCTGTCGAACGGTGGGGGCTGTAGGCTCGCAGCAGTTCCCCAAAAGGATCAACTTCAGATCCCCCAGTCAGTCACACAACACGTTCATCTCAGACCTCACAGCCTCGCGCCTGCATTCTCAGTTCGGGATCGACGCAAATGACAGTTATTCGAAGAACAGTGTGCCCTTGGTCGCGAGGCCACGCCGCAGGCCGAGAGGGCAGGTGGCAGTTGGCCGGACCTGCTTGTTGGAGCAGAAAAGAGTGTCGACCTGCATTCCATCTCTGAACTCTGGTCTCTTGGTGTGTCCATCACGCCATGAAGTCATAAAGCAACGCTAAGCTAATGATAGAAGTTTGAAATACATTCACGACAAAAGCAGAAGTTTCAATCCAGCACTAGAAGCCCAATTGCATCATGTTCTAAGAATGCCAGATCTCATGGCCTCGAAGGGTTTTCCAGTCGTGGAATGTCTGAGAACCTTGCCAAGAACATGTGGTGGCAACCGTTGGGGGCGGAGGATGAGCTAAAAGCATGTCGCGTTCAGCTATTATAGCTATGCTCTCTTGAGTATTGGCTCTTCAAAGCACTGGCCGGCCCCTTAACATGTGCTGCTGGTCGCTGCAGATCACAATGGCTGGTGCTTTCTCTCAAAACAGGCCCAGCCTCAGCATCAACATCTTGCGTCCATTCTTCGCTAGCCACCCAGACTTGCAAAGCCATGAGCTCACCACATAATCTTGTCTTCGTTTATGTGCAGACAGAAGAACGCTCCCATGCCCAGGCTTGAAAGATACAGCTAAGAGCCCCAAGCCACACCAACTTCGTAAAGACTTTCCATAGACATGCCACGCCCACGCGGACGCTTTGGGGCTCTCGTGATCGTGACCGCAGGCCAGGTGCTGTGGGGTTCTCCCGGCTGTACGCCCTGCAGTCTCATAGGCTGCAGGACGGTGCGAATGAGGTGTACACACCAAGACTGGTGGAACGGTTCTTGAGGCCCTCCGCTGTTCCGTTGACAGAGCCATTCTTGCCACTTCAGCCAGGACTGCTCCTTCGTGGTGGCGGCTTTTCCTTCCTGCAGGCTTGACTTCAAGGGATGCCTGCAGAGTGCTGCAAGCTCGAGATGCTCCCAGTGCTGGCGATGGTTTCAAACACGACACATCAATGTCCCATCGTATCGCCAGCTGGGCAGAACACAAGCACAGGACAAGCGTGTGAGAACACACCCGGTTTCAAGACTGTCGCAAGTAGAAATCTGATGATGAAGATGAAGATGAAGATGTTGATGAAGGTGATGGTGATGGTGATGATGAAGATGCGGATGAAGATGAAGATGTTGATGATGATGATGATGATGACGATGGTGGTGGTGATGGTGATGACGATGACCGTGATGCTGCTGATGATGATAAGTTGCGAAAGACGAGTGGACGAGTGATGCATGAACAAGCTCATTGGCCATAAACGAGATGGAAGCAATCAGACGTGCCACCGACCGTGTGCTCATCCTTGTCGTCATTGTTGGAATCACTGTAGCATTGCTCTGCTGCCGTTCTAGGTTTTCTCCGAATCGTTGTCTCTGTTTTGCGCCTGTTATTGATACGAGGACTCATTGCCGTCAGCGAGGGGTCTCATTTATTGCGCGTAGATTAGATGAAGTTGGCGCCACCGGTATCGATGGAGAACCTCGATGCTTTCAGCACTGTTCGTGCAGCTTGCAGTCAACACATTCATTTGCAACTCTATTACCAACACCGTGCACTGGAGCCTCTCAGGCCAGTATGCCTATTTGTCCATCTGTTTCTATGGAAGCGCTTTGGGTTTGATGGTTCCTAAACCCTACAAGAACTTCAGACTTCGCATCGCGTACATGTTCAAATTGACAGGACCTCCAATGAGGGTCAGCAATATCTGTCGATGTTCACAGGTGTGGGTGGGCACATGTGAGAGTGCAACTGCTTGTTTGTTTCTTTCTTTTTTTCTTTCTTCGTGTGATTTTCGAGTGTACATAGAGCTCCTTAGAATCTGACCGGCGCAGATTTTGGGTGCTGCTGTTGCTATATGGACTTGCACTGGAGCATAATCTGTGTGTGTATATGCATGTATACATGTGTGCGTGTGCTAATAGCTCTGCAGATGGAGAGAGAGAGAGAAAGAGAGGCAAGGGGGGTTCCCCTCCCTTGTCCATAACCCTGCCGAAAGAAAGAGAGCCTTGCTGCTACGTGCGGTCCGGTTGGCGGATGCCCTATAAACCCTAAACCCTGGACCCCATACTACCCCTTTGAAGGAACCCCCTTTGCCAGAGCTCCAAAGGCCTTCCACGGAAAGCTCTTGGCCTGAGCCTTGGTAGTTTGGGATCAGACCAGGGGACTGCCGTGGTCTCAATCAGAAGGATGTCCAGAGTCCATAATATGGGTTTTTTGTGATAGTCATGGGAGTCTCGCTAGCCCAAGAGGATTGTCGAGTTTCTTTCCACCTTCGGAATGTTCTTTTTCAAACGGGCTTTCCCGTGCTGTTCTGCAAGCCATCCTGCCCTGCCGCAACTCGAGAGCTTCCAAAACACGGATTGGAAGCAACATCGAAGGTGATCATGTGCTTCCGCCGAGAATGAAAACGGGTGTAAGTGTCTGCAATACTATTTTGCATAGTCCGTTGTCTGCTATTTTTTTGTTTTGTTCACTCTTCTTCTGCATCCGTGCTCTGATTCCTTTGGTACAATACAATCAGCGCGGCCTGCTGTTTCATGATCGCTGATCGGGCCTGCTTTCAAGCATGTGTTCCGCCCCTTAAGAAGAGTGAAAGACCGTCTCAATAACATAGGTGGCGCGAATGCTAATGCTGAGCCGTCCTTGTTAATCTGTTCGTCTATGTAGAAAGGTTTTGCCGAAGCAGCATCCCCCAACTTACGATTATGTGTCGGGCATTAGCTGACCCCACATGTCTCGGTAGAATGGTTGAGAATGGGTATTGGTTAGACAGGATTTGGGAAGTGGTTCGGATTCGGGTTCGCGACTAGGATTATTACTTCACTGCAGGATTTAGGAGGCGCTCAGTGCTTGTTTCGGATACGCGGGTACAGGGTTGGCATCCGCTTCCTTACTCGCCCTCCGAAACCCCCACCGAGATTTCGGCCTTCTGCTTAAGGGTTAGCCTGTTTCTTGAGGTTGGCATGCATATCTCTGCGTGCTCAGGGTCCCCGACGGAGTGATCGTGGTCGTTGCTCGCACATTGCGTGCTGGCAGCAGGCATTGCGGAGCCGCTAGTTCGGGAGATGGTCGGATTTACCAGCTGCCAGCATGCGGTGGCCGGTTTTGACCAAAGCCCAAGCTGCCCAACGCGCTGGACAGGATCTTAGATCGACGCTGGAGGCAGCCTAGCCCCCAGTTGACAGAAGGACCGAAAGACTCAGAACTTGTTTGGAAAGAGGGTGTGCTTGCTTGCGGCTGGCTGCTTTGAAAGCACCGCGGCTTTGTTCTGAGCGCTTGCATAGCAGCGCGGAGACGCCGACAAGAGCCTGTCAATGGCAAAATGGCAACATGCTCTAGTAGTGACCCAGTAGTGCAGTATGCAGATGTTACTTTTGGATATATGTGGTATTGCTGAAGTCGTAGTAGCCAAAGCTGGGCCAACAATCTTTGGATCAATGACCGATCGTCGCAGTG